CTTAACTTTTATAAAGAATATCTCTTTGGATTTGAGACTTTAGTCTTTGCAACTTTACAGATCTTCTTTATGCACCAAGAGCTTGTAACACTCCAAAGAGAGAGGAAGAATTTAAATAGCATCTTATGACCCCTTTAATGCATTTGAGATGTTGTTTTCCCCAGTGCATAACGGACATAGCACAGTTATATTGTTCCTCTGTAAATGTTAGAAAGTCATGCAAAGTAGGGCTGTGCAAAAAAATCGCCTGCGATTTTGAACGCGATTTTGTGTAGCTTGTCAGTGAACTACGGCTCTGTGTAGTAAATGCCGCTCCATTTGAAAGCACGTGCTGGCGATTTACTACTAATCACAGGAGCGGCTTTACTGACGAGATGCGTATGAAAATCGCATTCGATTTTTTTGCACAGCCCTAATGCAAAACATATCCATTTTGCTGTCAGGAGTGGGCAAGGCTTACACGAGTGAATGAGCGTTGCAGACGAACGCAATAGAATAATAGCGCAATAATTTTGAGTAAATATACATTTTCCTAAAATATTTGTTGTCGGAAATTAAATGTGACTCATGTAGAATTCATTTTATATTTATTATAGTGTATTTATATGATAGCAGTAACTGTAAATCAAATGTAAGCTGGCTAACCCCTAGCTCAAATGAGTTAATGTGTATTCTTAAAGGGGTCATATGATGCTGCTAAAAAGAACATTATTTTGTGTATTTGATGTTAAGGCTGTCGCGATAACCGCAATATCTCAATACCGCGCTATTGATGAGCAAACCGCAGAGGAATGCAAGAACCGCAGCAACCACGATTTTTGCGTGTTTTCTTTTTTCGTAAGGTTATGCCCTTCTCGTTTTACACTTCATGCATGTGGACTGAATATTAAACAAGTTAGTAATGATAACATAATGTGTACCATGCTGATTTGTACAGAGGCTCCGTAGATTTGCACTTAACAAGCCTAAACAGACAGTGAATGAGAGAGAGATCGACTGAGCGCGTGCGATTACTTGCGTCTGGCCTCCAGGCCGAGTCATATATATTTGTGAAAATAGGTTGTCATGTCCAAGGAAAGCGTAATCTCTGTTTTAGCATCGACGCATAGCTGGTCAGCTGAGCCTTCTAAAGTGGCGCTCAAAAATGATTTCTAAAATGATTTCAATAGCGTGTTTCATTACGTCTCTTTGAATGAATGAATCCTCCGCATACCGCGCTATTGAGCCACTCAAAATTACCGCAAGGGAAATTCCCTCACCACTACAGCCCTATTTGGTGTAATTAAATGTGTTTATGTGGTTTAACGTTCAAAAAACACATTATTTTCCACATACTGTACATTATTGTTTCTCCTCTATGCCCCGCCTTTCTGAAACGCGTCGATTTTTACAAAGCTCATCGTTCTGAAAAGCGAGGTGTGCTCTGATTGGCCAGCTATCCAGTGCGTTGTGATTGGCCGAATGCTTTAAGCGTGTAAAGGAAATGTTACGCCCCTTACCATACTGTGATGCCGTGTGTCCCGGTGTTCTGTCGATTTGTGCTACCCTGTCAGATTTTGCTACCTCCCATTAAAACAGTGGGTAGTACAATTTGACAACGAAAAATGCTACCTGTAAAATTATGGTTTATCAACATCTACACCTACCCCAACCCTAAACCTACCTTTACAGTAATACAAATACAGTAATGATGTGTTATATTTGCGATTGTGGCTAGAAGGGATACAGCTACAGGATAACTATAAAATCTAAAGATGGTTTCAACCAAGTTTCTTGGATGCAAATTATGTCCGGTTTTATTTCTGAATCATTGATAAAACTTTTGAATTCCTGTCCATTTGCCAATAGACTCCTTGCATTCCATTGAATTATAAACATGAACTCGATCCAATTTGGCTTGAAGACCTTCCTTCTTAGGTATGGAAAGTAAGAAGGGAAATAAAAGGAAGGAACAAGTCATAATAAATAGACTGAGGATTGGACATTGCAAGCTAAACAAAACTCTTCATGTTTTAGGAAAACACCCGACAGGACTAAGTGATGAATGTCAGGAGGAGGAATCAATTAAGCACATCTTTATATCATGTAAGAAATATACAAGAAAGGCAAGAGTTAAACGGCTCGATTAGTTCCGGCTTTGATGAAGGTCCACCTTCCGAAAAACAAAATGTCTTGTGATTGGTTAGCTGTCCCAGTGCGTTGTGATTGGCGAACATAACTCTGCAGCAGCTCTTCTTCTTCATCGTCTCGTCTGATGCACTCACTCACCAAGCGTTCTAACCACAACCTCGTCCCTCCCCAACCATTCCAATTTCTGTAGGCGGGAATTCTTTTTAATGATATTCTAATGAGCCACTTTGTGATATCACAAAGCCCGGAAACCAACGCTGTAGTTCAAATGAGCCGTTCGTTGTATGAAGAAGAAGAAGAAGAAGAAAAACACGCGTTGTTTTTGTCCCACGCATGATTGCAAGCAAGCGAATTCGCGGATGCGACGAGTGTTAACCATGCCTTACTGCTCGGACTTTTCGTAGATGTAACACATTAGAAACTCTTGAATTGTCGCGCTTGTTGTAACTGGGCAGTGTTGTGGAGTCCTGTGGGTTTCTCCGTCTGTATCAGATCCATTCAACTTTACAGGGGAGATCAGCTGAATGTGTTCTGATCATTAACTGCGTGAAAGCGACATCAGCTTACAGTTTAACAGGTTAAGGTATGGTACTTTCATCTTTGTGGTTGTTGTAATGTATATATGAGAATTAAACGCCCCCGCCGCAAATGATGAAACCGTAAACAAAGAGTGAAATAAACCATTCCAGAATTTGTTGTGGGGAAAATATACAAGAAATGTTATGTCAATATCAGTTGTCAAGTAATTTTCATTTCAACCAACAATTGTGCAAGTAATAAAGTTGTATTTAGCAGCAGGGAGATGACAGTGTTAGTGAAGAGCATGATGTTAAACATGATTAAACCTTTCCACCACAGCTTTTAAACACACGATTTGAAATGTGGTGTAAAAACTCGGGGAAAATAGACAAAAACGACAGAACTGTCATGCATGCCCTGTGATGCATTTATGTACTGTGTTACATTATTAAATTAAATTTATGAGAGTGTAAAAGATGGGTTTACTCATTCGTTTTGTGGTAAGCTGTAGTGGCTCTCTTTTCATCCATTTGTTTAGCTACACAACTACATTTAAGCTACTTAAGTCAATTAAACATTGTGAAATTCAACAATACAATAGGCTATACACTCTGGTAGTCATTTTAGACTGAAAAAGTAATTGTATTATTATTCATTATTATATAATTTATTGGAATGCTACAAAACTTAGTGACTTTTGTGACACTTGCTGTATGAACATAAAAACTGGTCTCAAAAATACACACTTGTGTATGAAAATCCAGAGTTTTGGGTACATTGTAAAAATCAGCCATGAATCAATCTATCTTTCTGTCTGTCTGTCTTTCTATCTGTCTGTCTGTCTAGCCGTCTATCTATCTGTCTCTCTGTCTGTCTGTCCGTCTAGCCATATATCTATATATCTATCTATCTGTCTGTCTGTCTGTCTGTCTGTCTGTCTGTCTAGCCATCTATCTATCTGTCTAGCCGTCTGTCTGTCTGTCTGTCTATTTATGTCTGTCTGTCTGTCTGTCTGTCTGTCTTTCTGTCTGTCTGTAGCCGTCTGTCTGTCCGTCTAGCCGTCTATCTATCTGTCTGTCTGTCTGTCTGTCTAGCCGTCTGTCTGTC